GAAAATGATAGCCTTTGATGGATGTCAAATATTGGCCTTATGAGGGAACCATCCATGCATGGATTGCCCTAGCAGAAGCCTCCAGTGATAATCTGTTCCTTGTAAATATCCTTTGAATGTTCCAAGCTGATATCAAAGAGTTTTAATCCTTTCCTTTGTGTGACTTACCAAATTGTCACCTGTTTTGTTCCTGGTTCACAGAGCTGTCGGAAATTACTGAAGAATGGCAGTGTTTCTGATCAGGTGAGAGAGAAAATATACTTCTCCATTCCAAAGATTCAAGTCCCTCAGTTTCAATTAGTTTTCTACTCACCGGTTATATTTTCCCTCAATCGCCTGGTCAATATTTCTGCTATTTACTAGGCAACAGCTGAAGCTCTTTGTTCCATCATGCTGCTTGAGGAGAGCTCACCGCGCCAGGTGTTCACCGAATTCCTACTGGCAAGAAAGGTGAGTTGTCAGAGCCTTTCGCAGGAAAGATTGTAAAAACACCTGTGCAATTAATATCCAAAACCGCAGATGTACATTAATGAACACCCACTGGATTAGAATTGATCACTGTAATGTTAACGTATTAATTTAGTTGTGAGGAGGTTGATGCTACTGATTTCTTGAAAATGGCTTTGAGGGATCACTCATGTGAAATGATGTGAAAATTGGAAGACAGTAAATATTTGTTGATATAATAGCCGCTTTAAAGTTGAACACCAGACAACTGTACAGTAGTTGACTCCAAATGACTCTTTCATAAATATGCCTTTTCTTTTCCCCCAGGCTGCAGTACAACACTGCTTTCATTCAAGTCAACAAGGTAAGTCAGCATAATTTCTATGTGAATTTGATTTAAATTATACATGCTGTTTCATCAGAGGTTACCACATGGATTCTAACATTTCTCTTCATGTGCGCAGTTCTGCATATTAATGAGTAGTTCCAAAAACATTCCCAAAACGTTGATTGCATTTGAATAATAATCAGGGGACAACATTCTGCCTCTTCTTCACCACATGACAGGCATGGGCGTTAGAGGCCAGATCTGCAGTGTGACGGAACTGATCTGTGTTACCGTGAAGCAGATCTATGCTGTGTTCTACCATCAAGAAGACAAGAAAGAGGAAGGTAAGAAATCACATCTTTTTGTGACACAACCCCCCTCCCCAAAATACATGAGTGAGAGAGAGATTGCTGTTGTCAACCCCTTGCACCTATGCATGATGTCCGTGCTCAACTTTCATAGAAAACACATCCAAAACATTTTACCAGCTTAGCAAATATCGCCAGAGAACCAGTCACAGACAATATACTCCCTATAGTATTTTGGCTGGTAACCACTTTCTGCTGGGTAGTTGTTTCTCTGTGCTTAGCAAGTATGTGTGCTTAACAGCACCGTGAAATTTGACCCATATGCAAATTGGCAACTTCTGTTCAGATACGAATGAGACCTGTGTTTAATCCTGTATTTATAACGTGCATTGATAAAGATACAGTGCCTTACCAAGGAAAACTCCACAAGACAGATTATAGCTTTCATGAAAGGGACTTGTAGTTTTTCAGTTTACCCTTCAAAATGTCAAGGGAACTGATGTTGTGATGAGGTTGTAAATGTTCTTGTGATAGAGAATTCCAGTATCGGGGAAACAGGAACTGAAAAGCCAGCGTGGCTTGGGGTTTGTCGAGGCTGAGTGACTGCATAGGGTGCTGTGACATTGCACTGTGTAGTGCTTTGTTCATGAAGACAGCCTTGAAAAATTAAACAGGCGTACGTAAGGGTTTAATATGAAAGAAATGGGTTGACTCTTATCGAGGAGTGAACTTTCTTTTTTAATATTGGAATTGAATTTTCTGCTGCATCGTTGTGAATGGTCGAAGGTGGGATTTAGAGAAGGGCCTTCTGTTTGGAGTGAGATTTTTGAGTTTCACATTACTTCTTAAGTGATCATACTTTATATGTTGTGAAAATAATAACCTTCAATGAAATGTAAAGTTCAAGAAAAATAATAGATTGAGGGGTATTTGAAGATTTTTCACTGTCTATTCACAACTGCATCTGATTTTACAACAGCATTTGCACAAGTGACAAAGATGTAAACATTTTAGTCTTTCCACGTAAATTGTTGCATATAATATAGGTTATTATGCCCGAATGTTTACTGTCCAGATCATTCCAATCTGTTGCTGAAGACGCTTCAAGAAGTTACCAGTGAACAGCATGCGTCCAGTAAGTGTAACATGGCCACTCTCATCAGAAAAACCCAGCACATTGCCAATAGAAGGTGTGGTTCTAGACTCAACATTTTCAGAGGGATTACATGGAAGCTCTATTTTCTCTTTGTGCAGCAACTGTTTGGGGGACCCAATTGAATGAAAGTGTCGGAAACACAGGCACTTTTGAGCAAACCTAGCAAAAGTTAGAGGAAGTAAATGCTGATGAGCTGATGAGTATGATTCTCGAATTTCAACAGAAAAGAAAACTGGCATTCTTCAGAGTGAGATGGTGTCTGCTTCATTCACAAAACATCTTCCAAGCTCTGTCATTGGTGAGTCCCATTTCTGAACTTTTGCCTCCAAAATTTTGGTCTGTTCAGTTTCTGGTCATGCTTTTGGTCCTACCAGTTTCAGCTGCTTATAGGTAAGAAAAGATCTAATATTTATCGGCAGAAACAAAGGATGTTAAAGTTGCACTTTTCAAAGATTGCTTTTCTTCCTCTTCAGTCGTCTTACAGCATGAAGATTTGGTCGTTCCCTAATAATTAATATTCATTGAGCCATATGTCCTGACCGCTCTCTGATTGGTTCCCGCAGGTTTCCGCCCCTCACCTCGTACTCCGAGCACCGCCATCGCCCCCAGCTACCTGCAGCAGAGCCTGGAGCAGTGGGTGGAGACGTGCATACAGGACGTGCACAGCGGAGTGGGCAAACTGCTGGGTCATGTGACTTCCATGAAGGCCCTCGCCACCATACGGGATGCCGTCTGGGACTTGCTGGCGGAGGTGGGCAAGGCCTGTCGCAAAGTCTGTATATGTCAAGAACTGTCCGGACAGCTTCTGCTGCTACTCGCCCACCAAAGCAACTTCAGCTCATGCTTGTTAAAATATGCTCAATAAAAATGGGTTAAGAGTCTTTCATGAAATATGTCCAAATAACCAGCTGCGTTCGTGATGTGGTCATTTCAGTTGACTTGTTTGGGTACAGTGTCCCTGAGTCATTATCTCGTTAATGATGTCCCTGAGTCATTATGTCATTAATGGCAAGTCAAAGCTTCATTTGTTGGAGTAGTGGAACGAACAGTGGGCAAGGAATTCCTTTTCACACAGGTTATGATTTATAAAGATGAGCAGAGATATTGACTGGATTGGGATTTGAACCTGAGGCCTCCTGAATACTGTTCCGGTGCTCTACCGACTGAGCTATCCAGCCCTATGTTGGTGGCTCTTTCCATTGTCAATATCTTTGTTTGGGGGGGCGTTAGCCAGAAGCCATTAAACCTGAAACACCATGTAGCCAGGGATCACACCCTAATAGCATGATACAACCTGGGAAGTGGTGAACAGGGATCACTTAAAGAAGATACGGCTTCTTGAACATAAATCATGAAACAAATTATGATTTAACTTGATGGCTTGCGACTGGCTTTTTATTGAGCGGTTGTGACTCGTGGCAACTTTAATTAAAGCTCTGCCGTGTTACCTACCCCACGTGACGATGTGACATAATTGTGCAACAGGACGACGGCAGATCTAACATGAGCATTGCTGACACTCCCTGTTTTAATCCTAGGATAATGGTGAGGTCAGCTGGTCCACCGTCTGTCAGTGTGTGCTAGACAGGCAACTGTCACTATGGGGAGAGTTCATCAGGCCTCTGTTCCTCACCAGGGTACAGGTATGCAATTTCCTCTCAGGAAGTCTCTGGTATGCGATTGTCTCCAGTAAATACATTTGTGAACAATTATCATGCTTTTTATCCTTCACTGATGTATAACAAGTGCTGTATGAATTGAGTATACTGTAATTAACACCCAATAGGAAAATAATATCTTCCTGGTGCTCAACTTGCATCGATTGAAATAATTCCTAATTTTGTAGCCGATGCTTGAGAGCCAAGTTGGAGACTTTGTAGTTTGGGATGTCAAAAGTTCGCCTCATGTTTAAACGACTCTTTCTGCATCTCCAATTGGCAACTGTGTGTGTGTAATACGTGTGCCTCAGCATGGCACACACTAACAAAGGTTTGGAAGAAATCTTTTGGCAATCGACGGTACGGCTGTGAGGGCTCCATGTTCTGCACTTTTTTGTACTTTGCTTAGTAAGCCCATCCCCCTTGCATTTGGTCAGGGCATCTTGAAAAAAAAAAGAGCATAGATTCACACTTCTCCCAGACTATTTATTGAATTATAATATTACCATACTCACCCGGAACACTTCTGTGTAAAAATGTGAGTCTTTGATGCAGCGGTTAATTCTGATGGCAGTGCCTAATGCTTGGGATATCTCAAGGGTTGGAATATTACTGTTCATTGGGAGGCTCCTTCATGGAGCATCATAGATTCCCCTTAGGAAACGGCTGTATTCGCATTCCATTCTCGCATTGCTAGCTACTGACTGGGATACAGTAAAAAAGTCGGAGTATCACTGTTCCTGATAAGAAGCTCCTTACAGGACTCTGTATGTTTCTAATGGGAGTTCAGTGTATTCCAATTAAGAATATGACGCTCCCGAGTTAGAGTGCATGCGCATAGACCGCTTTGTCACTTGGGAACATGTAGTGTTCTTAGAATGAAAAGCAGGTGTTCCCTATTGGAAGAAGCAATGTTGTTGAAAAGCTTTGTGGAGTTCCAACATTCGAGAGCCCCGTAGGCCTGTGTACTGATGATGTCACACTTTGTTTACGTATGCACTTTTCTATGGAACCAGTGGGGGGCCTACAGTCCTCTGAGCACTGTAGGAAAGCATACATGTAAACAAACTGGCATCATCAGGACAGATGTCTGTTAGCTGGGGGCGATTTTACCGCACTTCAGCCTTCCTTTTTTTTTCTCTCAATTTCCCCCACTTACCGACCCATTTCATCCTGCAGGCCATCATCCAGGATGCCCTGGACCTGACTTCCACTGGCACCCAGAGGCACACCCAGCAGGCCCTTAGCGACCTGGGCTCACCGACAGCCGAGCAGGACATAGCCGCCTACGTGTGGGCCGAGGCGCCCAACGACACCCCTATCCCGGCGGCCTGGAAGGGTGGCGGAGGGACGCTGGTCAAGCAGGCTGGGGAACCCGGTGGGCTGTACATGAAGGCCAGGGCTTTCACCCCTAGGACGCAGGGGTAAGCAGTACGCCTAAGAGACCCATTGGCAGCTCTAGGTCTTGCCTGTCAATGGCTGGCAAAACTGGCTGGCCATCAAATAAAACCAAAAACATAATTCACAAGTGTTAAAATTATTACACAGCTATTGAAACTCAAAATAATGAATACAATTAAGAAAAACATGTATAAGGAGAAATATCTCCACTTTAGCTGAAGTGGGACGAATGTGCACTTTGATCAAATCATTCTTTCCAGACAAGTATAAACTCGCTGCAAACTTTGGTATCCCATGCAATAAGCTTAGCAAAGTTTGTCAATAAAAAAGTTTACCTGTAAGGAATTAGACAACAGTTCTATTTCTGAAGGTTTAGAGTACACAGAGTATGACCTCTAGATTTAAACCAAACCTCCCTATAGATTAACCCCCCCCCCCGGTCATCTTTGCAAGGAGTTGTCCTGAATCCTCTACAACCAACCACTGTGGAGGAAACCTTTGGTGCTTGCTTTGAACTAAAACTTTTCTGAGGCATCAAGCGCCATGCGGATTGACAGTGGCTGGGTTCCACTTTTCTTCAGAATTGCCCAGAACCTCCTGCGAATTTGAAGGAAGCAGGAGGCAGTGCTGTTGGTCAGATCCATCACAAGTCCTCTCACAAGACTGGACATGAGTAACAGGTTGAGCAATGACAAAGGAATGCTATTGTGACAGTTCATTTGAATACATCATGACTTGATTTATGACTGAATGACTTGTGACGGACTTGTGCTGGACTTGTGCTGGACTTGGCGGGAACTTGTGACGGACTTCACTACAGCACTTCAGGGAGGATTAGGATTAAATACATCTGTGGAGACAGATTGTAAATTCAGGAAAATGAACCACAGCTCTTACGAATGAGATCAATAACATCACTGTCAATTTTAAATGGAGTTTGTCAGAAATATGACCCTTTGCTGTTGTCACCTATTGTTTTCAAAGATTGTGTGGATTCTGTATCCTATGTTACATGGTTCAGGCAGATGTTTTGACATGAAAGCTCTATGTACTCAAAGGCATTTCACCGGTTTTGTACCCATTAATTTTTATAAATGCATTTGTTGTTAAGTTGATACACAATAGTTCATATTAAGGTTGATGTCATAGTGTCACTTTGCACACAGTGGTGTACCCATTTATTCATATTGTTTTCCCATGTTACCTATTTGCTACCCCTATGTACCCATTTACTACTCCTATATACCTATTTGCTACCCCTATGTACCCATTTGCTACTCCTATGTACCTATTTGCTACTCCTATGTACCTATTTGCTACCTCTATGTACCTATTTGCTACCCAATGTACCTATTTGCTACTCCTATGTACCCATTTGCTACCCCTATGTACCCATTTGCTACTCCTATGTACCCATTTGCTACCCCTATGTACCCATTTGCTACCCTTTTTCACCCACTGCACAACTCATTGTGTCCCCAGAATCTGCACTTCGCTGGACAGTCAGCTCAAAGCCCTCTTGGAGGACATGGCTTACTATACAGAGAGCCCCGCCCCTCAACCGAGACTGTCCTCCGCCGACAAAGGGACCAAAAAAGCTGAGCCGTTTGACAGATTCGCAGACACAGTCACACTCCATAGCTTCCTCCAGATCTCCTGCACAACGTGTCTGCAGAGGTGAGTGTGCCTCAACATGTGGGGCTCTGCCTCAGGGAAACCTTCAGACAGATCTTCCATCGGTTAAAGGTTATGTTTGGGAACACTGAGTCACTTTAAAGCCATTTGCATGACGTAGAATTCCATAGTTTTTCCTCTCGTATTTCCTTGATTGAAGATTGTTAGGCATCGTCGGCAAGCAGTTGGAGGAGACTAAATCTCAGCTGGACACCTGTGTTCATCTTGGACAGACAGAGCAGAGCTCTAGGGTTGTGGATAGGTGAGGCTGTTTTCTGCTTTTAATTTACTTCCCAGCTGTCAAACAGGTTATAAAGTTATTGTCTGTAAAATACTCCATGGAAGCTGACTTTAAGAAGCCTAACTACCGCCAATCATTTGTTTCTCGTACCCGTCCAGGGCCCTGCTCCTGGGTCGTCTCTGCTCGGCCCTCGTAGAGCTTTGCCCCAACCTGCAGAAGGCTGCCAACATAGCTGAGCCCGAGACCAAGCCATCCAAGCCTGAACCACAGAGGTACGGAAGTTTAGCCATGCAATACTTTATGAGCCCTATACATTACTCAGTACTGAATCAGGTAGTCTGGGATCTAGACGTGTTCCTCCATATTGAAGGTGCTAGTCACAAATCTCAACTGTTTCCCTCAAGTCATAGGTCTCACTGGATGCGACCCAAATGAAAGGATACCTTCACAAATAACTCATTCTCCCCATCAGAGGCCACCCTCACAAACCACACGTCACTATACTGTATCCAAACCACATATTTCACTCTAAAATAATGATTCATCCTGCCAAATCCCGGTTCATTCTCATAAATCAGAGATTAGTCTTGGAATGAGCAATTCCTTCTCAAATCACGATTCGTTCTCAAGTCACTTACCGCACACTATTCAAACAAATCACACTGTGTTGTCTCCACTATTTGTTGCCGACAAACTAGTGAGGTGCCACCCTAGTGAGACCTTACTTTTACTCTCTATACATGTTTTACCCACAGTTGGCTGAGGAGTAAACTGATGGGGAAACGTTCTGCCAGTAAACCTGAGGCAAGTTAAGATAGAGTCAGTTCATGTTGAAAACATTCAGGTAATCTTGTTTCAGTCGACATTGGTAGGCAAGTACCATGTTCTTGTGTTCCGATTGCCCTCTGATATCTGTAGAGAAATACAGAAGAAATATCCTAATCTTGGTGCACTAGACCGACAGCCTATGCAAATCCAGCATATTGATGCTGAAGTTCTCTATCTCGATTTGTTTTGAATTCCCATGTGTTTGTAACTTATTGCGTTTAGCATCAAGATCTGCTGTCACCGATTGCTCTTTGTATTTACTTTCTCTCCTCCTTTTCCTCAATTTGCGCCCAAGCAAAGAGCCACGTATTCCTTTTGTTTGCCTACAGACTGAAGAGGAGACCGAGTGGGATAATCTGAAGGGGCTCTTACTCCAGCAGAGCAAAGACGCTTACAGGTATTACCTACCAGTGACTAGACAACTCGTGCCCGTGCGCATTTACCTGGAGACCCTCAAACTTGGTCCAGATGTCAGGTTTACCACTCTGTAATTACATCGTGGCATCCACTGTCACATTCGCAAAAACAGTTGCCTTAAGAAAGCATAAAATTCCCTCAAATTAAGGGATATGGAAAAAGGCCTGGAAGGAATGCACATGAAGCAGTTATGAAGTGCCTGTAGAGGATTTTCAGTCACGTGACTTTTGACGGTCACCGTTCCATTTACACAGATGTGCGCAGAAACGTGCACACCTTCGAAGTCTCTCAGCAACTTGGAGTACATGAAATTGCCAATTAAAAGTCATATATTCAAATGTACACGCGCTGCCGCGGACTTGGAACATTTCCTGAGCTGCTTTTGCCCGTCAAGTGACATCATGTGAAAAACCTCTATAGATGAGCACCAAAAGTTGATCTGCATCTGATCAGCCCCCCCCTCTTGTTTTGCAGGGTCTGGAGTGATTTCACAGCATCCAGGGTCTTGGCGGATTTCGGCAAGTACCTGACTGATCCCAGTAGCGAAGCAGCCTTGAAGGCTGCCACGGTACGTTACACTGCTAATAAACTTTGGCTCCAAATGTCAGAAAGAATGCTTGAATGGATGGATGGGTGCTATTAGTGAGGGAAGGGAGTGTAACCTCAGGCCTTGAGCTGTGCAAATGAAGACAAGGGAGAGTAGGCTTCTACTAAGCAGTGATCTCCCTTACGGGGTACAAGGGACACATGCTTGCGGTTGTGGTGTGAGTCCGGCACATAGCTTCCTCTGGTAATTTCGGAATTCTGTAGTGTGCCTTTGCGCTGCGCAAGTGTCACCCCAGCCTCTCCATTTTTCACCAGTGAGGGAGTACGTATACACGGACTGAACAGTTTCATATTTTGGACTTAGTCTTCAGGATAAGCATTCATGTTATCTTTGACCTTAGGCAAGGCATTTTACCACATCTGCTTCTGTCTCTTCATGAGTAATAAAGTAGCATTTTTTAGAGAATATAACAACAGCGGCGGAATGGTTTTAAAAGTGGGGGGGGGGACAATGGCCCCTCCCCCGGCCCCGCAAGTTCCGCCGCTGGTGGTATCCTGTTCAGTTGATGGCAACGTGCAATGCTGGAATTGACTACGTAGGCTATGCATGCTCGTTAAGGAATATTTTAGGGAAAATTATAAGTTTCTTTGATCTCTCAAAAATATCAAGATATCAAAACCAAGTGTATCTTGTGAAGCACTGCGATGATGCCAATAATTTGAATCAAATACCTTTGATACGTGTTTTCCAGCACTGGGACACAATTGAGATACAAGAAGAGTCAGAAGAGGGCAAGAAGGTGACATCTAAGGTCCAATTACCAGTGCAGGTAGGTTTTGCTCCATTTAAACTGTGTGGCATTGACAGTGACATGACTCACTGTCTGTGTCCAAGTGATGCTTGGTCAGCTTTTCTTCGAACTTTTAATCAAGCTGAAAGTGGCAATGACAACATCAATATGGACAATGACAGTGTCAGTGACAGATAATATTGTCATCTGTCACTGATACCTAATTCATTCCCCCCCAAAAAAAATGTCAGAGGTTGCTGATACAGGATGTAATTCTCAGTGCTAGTATCTGTAATTCACTGATGTTTGAGCTTTGTCCCAGGCCCAGTCGACATGCCTGGACATGACAGGGACGTTGACCAGAAGCATCTTAATCAGGTCCAGTCACTAGACATGAGATTCTTGCTGGTTTTTCTACACCAGGCGTCCTGGTATGTCCAAACCGTGCTCTACTCACTGTGTGAAGAAATCAACAGAGTTGGTGGTCATGCGCTGTCTCGGTAAGAGCTGAGTGTCTCTGTGTTCCCCAGCTTCACCTCATGTCCTTGTGTAGACTTCACACGTTTGCTCTTGGAACCAGATGAAAAAAGTTAAACCGAGGCTTCTTTCACATGAATTGTTTATTCAACTCAGTGACTATTTATTATGTATATGAGTACAAGCTAGTCAAGAGAAATTAATCATAGATTTTAGTTTGAGGCATGGAGCATTTTCTAAAGTTATCAGTTGTCAAAGTTTGTGATAGTGACATCTGAGGCCTAAAGCAGGAATGAAATTGTGGTTCAAAAATAGCTTCACAAATTTCCACAAACCAGTTCATACACCTCGATCAGCCTTCAAACTCTAGAATTTTGTAGCTAATCCAGCCTACTATCCATCTTTCCCCTTTTTTGGCCATCCTTGCTCCATGTCTGGCTATCCATGTCTTCGCTTTACCCATCCTTGCCCCCTTCTGTCCACCCTTGCCCCCTTTCTGCCCATCCGTACCCCCATTCTGCCCATCCTTATCCCTGTCCGTCCATCCTTGCCTCCTTTC